AAAGATGTCTGCAACACTCTTCCAATGTCAACCAGTGCCTCTTCCAATGCTTAACCACTCTTTCACTGATGAAAGTTTTTCCTAATATCCAACCTGAGCCTCCCCTGGTGCAGCTTGAGGCCATTTGCTCTTCTCCTGGGGGCGGTTACCTGGAGAAGGCACAGACCCCACCTCACCACAACCTCTTTTCAGGGAGTTGTCAGGAGCAATGAGGTCCTCCTGACCCTCCTTTTCTCCAGGCTAAACAGTTCCAGCTCTTTCAGCCACTCCTCACAGGACTTGTGCTCCAGACCTTATTTTTTTTTTCAGACTTGGTTCCACCTCTCAAAAGAATGGAAGCGCCTGTGACAAAGCCAATTTCTTCAGCTTGTCCCAGTCTGAACAGCCCAGTTAAAGGACATCCCTTTGACTTGGGATACCTAAAAAAGAGCTGTCACTTTAAATCTGGATTCAAAGGACATCTTTCTCATGCTGCCAATACAATCCTCTATTTGCGGTCATCTTCTGCATGGGAGAGTTTTCCCCAGTGAACCTGGGAGTCCTTGGTTTGCACATGAGGCTTTTCCTCTGGAGCTGAACTCTCTGGGCTCCAAGGGAGATAGAACCCAGCTCAGCCTTGTGGTCTGTGGCTGAAACAAGCCCTGCCTTGCTGCTCCTCTGGGATCTGAGAAGTGACAAGCGGCATTGCCCACTCAATCAGAGGTGCGATGCTCTGAGGAGCAGAATCAACAGCTTTTCACCATTATCTAGAAATGCATATTTTATACAGACAGTGATTGAAGGAGGGAGAGGAGATTTGTCACTGAGACCCAGAGACAAGAGCATACAGAGGTCCCATCATTTCCCAGAGGTGTGGACATCTCTGTGCTTTAGGTGTGAATGTGTTTCAAGTCCCTGTTGACAGCCCAGGAAAGGGTTGGTGCACACATGGGAACTGCCAGGATGGATCAGGAGATCATCCCTGTAACTTCAGCCTTCATAAACACACTGATGGAGCTACAGCCACTATCCCAGCTTGCTCCAAGCCCCATCCAGCCCAACCTTGGACCTTGCAGGCATCCAGGGACAGCCACAGCTTCTCTGGGCAGCCTGTGCCAGTGCTCATCACCCTCACAGTCAAGAATTTCCTCCTAATATCCCCTTTAAAGCCACTCCCTTTGTCTGAAGCCATTCTCCCCCTGTCCTGCAAACATCTCCTCTCCACGTTTCTTATGTCAGTGCCCTGGAGGCTGGGGCTGTTCCTTTCTCCTTTTTCTGTTTCTGGAGTGCAGAGGAGCGCTGTGCCTCACATGCTGATCTCAGGGGATGAGGAGCAGATGGGAAATGCTGGGGGAACAGGAGGGTCTCTGCTGCAGCTTCTCTGCATCCTCCCTGCTCCTCATCACACATGCCTGGGCTTCCTTCCCTCACCTAATCAGCTCTGAATTTCTTTCTCTTCCTAGCTGAGAAACTCCCTGGAACTCCTTGCGGGGATGGAGATAATTCTTCCACCCCTTTCTCATTCTCCCTGCCTATATCTCTGATTCTTTGCAGCCCTTTCCTCTCATTTCCAGGCTTGCACTTGCTTTTCCAGCCCTCCTGTGTGATTGTGTTCACAGGGGTCTC